TAAATATCTTCAAAGGTGTGTACTACTTTGAGTCATATATGAAGTGTTGTAGCTTTATGTGCTATTTACCTTTGTTCCATTATCCTCCCTCTCTCTTTAACATGCATCGACATATACACAATATGTATGCACATGCATATGCAAATATTGACATATATTCACAAATGCACACATACTCATACGTACATATAGACACTGACATATATATATATATATATATATATATATATATATATATATATATTCACAAATGCACACATAGTCATACATACATATAAACACTGACATATACAATTAAGAGTGAAATTTATAGAATAAAAAATAAAAATAATTACAATAAAAAAAATACATATATTTTCATGTGTATTGCTTAAAAGGTGCGTAGTACTTTGAACCAAAACGTAAGTGCTCTGGCTAAAAGTACTATATAGCTTTTGCCCACTTTCCTCTCTTTCTTTCTCTTTCTTTCACGCCCACACACACATAGACACACACACGCATGATGACATACAAGCACACACTCTTAAAAAGTCAAGAGCTTATGAACAAAAAATATAACCTACAAACAATAAATAACTTGTAAGAGAACAAAAAAAAGAAAACATGTATCCATGAAAAGGTGCGTAGTACTTTGACGCACAATTGAAGTATTGTGGCTTGACATACTATGACCTCTCTCTCTCTCTCTCTCTCTCTGTGTGTGTGTGTGTGTGTGTGTGTGTGTGTGTGTGTGTGTGTGTGTGTGTGTGTGTGTGTGTATGCACGTGTGTGTGTCTTGTGCAACCTTTTGTGGTGGAGCATGAAATTGATAAAGTTATTTGTGAAGAAAGATCGTCTTTATACCATTATTGACATTATTGAACGTATTTTTTGAAAAAACTGTCGATCTGTTATGGTAATGGAAAGCGCATATGCGCAGGAAAAATGTCTGATCATGTTACTCATTCAAGGCAGGAAAAAGCAGGGTGGAAACCGTTCAAAAAGCCAAGGCGCATTAATGAGGGTGAACAAGAGCGTTGTTGTATAGAGGTATCGAACCATACATCTGCGGAAGCAGTGAGTGTTGTGGTCGAGGAACTCGGACGAATACCCAGTTCAGTCTCAGGAGAGAAGGTTGTGGGGGTAAATGTTGAGAGCAATAGTAGTCCTCTTAAAACAGGCATTAAAATGACAGGCAAGGTTGAAGATATAATTGCAGAGACGAGCAATTTGACAGTTTCCCTTCAAAAACAAGAAGTTGCGAAGGCAGAGCTATTGAAGAATCCATTGTATGCCGAGATGTACGAAAATTGTTCATGGCGGGGCAGAGAATGGAAGTGTTATCAAGATGTTATAAAAACAACGATCGAAGGTCAAGGAAAGAAAGTTGACGATCAATTTGAAGGTAAAAGTGTGGAAACAAACAAGAAATACGAAAGTGAGAAGTCTCGAGACAATGAGCGAGACACGAAATGGGCCGGTCACACCACCGAGGTCGTGACAAACGTCGTAGGCATGGAGTTGGGCATCGAAAGTTTGTTTCCATGTGAGTGGGAGTGTCCAATAGTTGGCAGGATCAATGTCGAACTGGATGCAGTGAGAAATCTTGCATATGGTCGATGGTTGAATGATGAAGTGGTTGATCTTTTGTTGCAATGGGCATGGTCAAATGGGGAGCCCCGCAAAGCGTCCGATGAAACTATGCATATTTGTTCCAGATATTGGTACAAGACATTGCAAGTGTACCAAAAAGTTCCGAGAAATAAAAATGTGTGGAAGGACATGATTAAGAGAAGACACAAGCAGTTGAAGGGTACTGCCCATGGAATGTGGGATTCTCGTATCGTTATTGCGCCTTTTACGTGAAAAGCAGCACTGGAGCCTACTTGTACTGGTGAACATGGGGAACTTTGTCAAGGATTCTTCACGCATTGATGTGGAACGTCATGTAGTCATTCACGTGAATTCATACAAGCAAGCAAGTCCGCCAAGCTGGAGCCTCATCTGTGCATTTCTTCATGACGAGTTCCTGTATCATAAAACACAGGCAGACACACCTTCTGCAAGTGATGCAGAAAGATCTTGGTATATGAGCAGGAACATCGTCATGACAAAGAGAGAGGAGATTGATTGTTAGCAACAAGAAAATGAAGATGATTGTGGCGTCCATGTTAGTTCATATGGTCAGTTATTGATAACACGTTTTTCTGTTGTAAGTAACGATGAAATTATCAGCGGACAATCGATTGTTAAATTCATTCGCAACCAATATGCTGGAGAGGACGTGATCAACCAAGCCCGAGTGCAGATGGTGGACGAGATTGCAGGCTGGGTTGCAGAAATGCACGGATTAGAGAAGACAACTGTAGGCGATATAACGCAGTACATACATAGAAAATAGAACGGTGTCAAGGCACAGTCAAGTACTTACTTCTAGTGCTTACGATCTCATATCCTTGTATTGAGTGCAGGATGACTGATCTAATTTTTCTCATTATTGATACACATAGGACGTGACTTGTGGAAGAAGATCAATATGACTATGTTTGAATCCTGATTTTTAGTAACCTCGATATGTGTGGTAGCATTTGTGGGTTAGATGGAGAGATTTTTTATAACGTCGACATGCCTAGTAGCATTTGTATTTTCGAGGAAGCTCAATAATACTTATTTATCGAGGCGAGAATAGTTGAAGTGGGTGAAATTCAATCGATGGGATGTACCCATACGGATTGGACATGGTTGAGACTCATGTATTAGAGAGGGTTAGTGAAAACATTTCGGATAGGCGTTCACATTCTGATGTGGCAGGGCAATTAATCCCTCTGCAAGGCGATAGTCAATGTTGCTCTTCAATTTTCAGTCCACTTTTCTTCCCTAACATGCGACAAACCACATTTCCAGCACGTGCAACTCCCCACAAAAACACTTGACTTCTTAGTGTCTGGACCATCATGGGTTTCCCCGACACGTTGTTTTTCGGATTTTACATACGAGTTTTTGTGTTATGATAAAACAGTTGTAATGAATTTTTTTGTTCGTTTTTGTAATGCCAGGTTTGGTCTTGAAGTGGTTAAAAAACTAATCATTATCGATTTCAATGTTTCATGACACCTTTCGTTTTTGTTTTTTTCAGTATATATATATATATATATATATATTTATTTATTTATTTTTTTCTCGCTCTCTCTTGTTTTCTTTCTCTCTCTCTGTTTTTCTTTCACTGTCTCTCTCTCCTCGTGGCTCGGCCAAGACTTCCGGAAACCGATCGTGGAGGGCTTGCATGTCTGATGGGACAGGTGGGGGTGGGGAATCAGCAAAGGGATCACCCAAGTCCGGTCGCAAGTCGCGTATAGAGACGACTGAATTTGAAGTAGGATCATTCGGACTTTTAGAGGGTAGAGAGGTAGAGGTGCTAGTAGTAGAAGTACTAGAAGTAGGATTATTAATCAAAGTAGTAGCCGCAAAAGTAGAAGGCATATGAGCAGGACGAACAAAAACAACATACAACTGTTATTCCTCTTTGTGCTTGCGCCACTTCTTACAGAATTTCAATGCATTTAGAAAAGTCACTGGGATCCGTGTTTCTCATCCAAGAGGACAGGAAACTCGTTCCCCTGAGCATCTTTGACAATGAAGAGTGATTCCTTCCACTTGGTCCATTCATATTGGGACTGCAGCCAGCCCAAGCCAAGGACAGCGTCGAAGAGGCACTTGTCAAGGACAAAGAAGTTCAATGCATGGGTGACAGTCTTACCTTTGTCAAAGGTAGTGCGCAAACCTTTGACTGCATGCGTAGAAAAGACAACTTCTCTGTTGCCAACTTGGGTCCGGCAAGGGTTCTGCAGGGCCACTTGCTTCATCCCCAAGCCCACCTTGCGTATCCCATATGGTGACATGAAATTAGCGGTAACACCACCGTCCACCAGCACACAGAGATAGCGATGGTTTATGAGAAGTTTAAAGAAAATTAACTTCACTGTCGCTTGGGCACGCTGCTGTTTCATCTCAGCCCAATGCTCCAAGTGGTAGTGGAAGTCAACCATCTCCGACTCCTCCCAAGCCTCAACATACAATACATTACTCACCTTAGCCTTGTCTTCAGCAGATGGTTGGGCTTCAAGGGAGGGCTGCTGATTTTCATTAGATCCTGACTCCCTTGTTGTAGAGTTTGCTGAATCTGACTCTACGTCCGGTTCTGGTTTCCCTGCAGCCTATAACAGTCCTGGACCTTGTGATTTGGCTTTTGGCAATGCAGGCAAACTCCCTTTTTGAGTCTGCCCCACCAGTCATTCTCAGTGATCCGGAGGTCAACCAAGGTTTGGTAGTTGCATCCTCCGGTTAAGGCGGGATCTTAACTCATTTGGAGAGTTGGACATAACTTTTCCCGGCACTCCGATTCGGTTCCTTAGTACTGGCAGTCTTTTTAAAGGCAGAAAAATTTTCTTCTTCTTTATTTGCGTCGGACTCATGGGCTGAAGAACAAGTTGTATCGGAGACCTGTTCTTGGTCGTCACCAAGAGTGGGGTCACTCGCATCGACTTCTTCTTCGGCCTCCAGCAGGTCATGCACAACAAAACGGTTGCTGCCCTAGAACCGTCTGTCGCCCATGGGCTTTTTGCTGCCTGCCGTGCTAACGAGGTCCATGGCCTCCAGATTGACTACGTCCTCCATTAAGGCGAGCCAGTCAGTATAAGCAATGTAGTCCCTGCCCAGGCGACTAGTGAAGTTAGTTGGAAGCACGCCCTTGACCACATCCAAGCAAGATTGAGTGGACAATTCCAAACCAGGAGTGACAAACAGCTTGCTTAGATAGGTCCGCAGGTTTTTCATGGAGCCATTCCACTTGCTGTGCTTTACTTTGTCTAGTTGAATCCTCGCTTTAGAAGCAACATGTGGGTCTTGGTATTCCGAGGTAAGAAGCTCTTCGAGGGAGGCAACCGGGATGGTCCTAAGCCATTGGGCTAATGCAGCCTTTCGGTACCCAGCCCGCGTTGCTTGGACTTCTAGGAAGCCCCATACGACCGGCTTGACATTCATTCCCATGATTACCGCCTGGGTCTCAGCTTGACTCCCAATAATTTCAAAGTAGGCCCTCATGGAGCCGATTCAAGACTCGATGTCTTCCTTGCCATCGTACTTGGACGGTATTTGAACCGCCTTCCGGTCCACATAGCGACCAGTGTGGCTGGGACCAGCAGCAGCTGATTCCGGTCTTGGGGTTGCAGCAATTGCAGAAGTTCCAACCTCATTGCTTGTTACAACAACAGTGGAATCTGCACCTGCTGCAGGTCCTGAGGGGGTTGCCATCACACTCGAAGAAGATGTAGAAGAAGATACAGTAAGAGGGGCAGAGGTAGTTTCGATTGCAGCCTCAGAACCAGGAGGTAGAGGAAGAGGGTTGGCCACTTGGGCTTGTCGAAGGTCAGCCACCTCCTTTGTCAAGTCATGGTACTTGCGGGTCATATCCGTCAGATCATCTTGAAGAGTCTGCAGCTTTGCAAAGACTTCAGCTATCTGGGTGGTATGGTCCTCAAGATTCCGGACTTGAACAAAGGCTGTAAGGATGGACTGCAGCTGTTTCCCGCACTGTTCTTCAGTCAATGAGGGAACAGTCTCTAGGAGAGCTACTTCCCTTCTCAGCAAGGTCTCCTTCCTCTCCTTCTCTGACTCCTGTTCCCGGTTTATTGCACCATCTAAGAGTGCTTGCAGATGAAGTTTCTCAGCATCATTGGCTGCATCCAACAAGGCATGCCATTACGTTGAAGATAGCTGGGCCATTTTCGGACTGTCAGTATGGACAGGTGGGTCAGAAAGTCGTCAATGAGCAAAATAATCAATCGGACTCTCAAGAGGTTCATTCCCCCTCACGCTTGGAGGAACACTCATTTTCCCAGTCCTTGCCCACTTCAGACAATCACTTTCCCTCTCTCCCTGTTCTCTCTCTCTCCTCTCTCTCTCTTCTTTCAGATTGCGAGTCTCCATGGGCATCGAAAAAGAACTCAGAAAAATAGGTAAAGCTCAGAGAAGAGAAGGTAGAACTCCTAGCCGTAGCGACATTTCATTTGGAAGTAGAGAACAACAAAAGAAACATAAAAACTCAACGAGAGGTCTGATCAGACTGCATACGAGGTCCTCTCGAGTCCAGTCTGACCAGCTCCGTATCTGTACAGAAAATCAAACAACGAGTAACTAAATGCAAGAATGGAGAATTGAGTGGTGTACAGGGTGCGAGTCAAGCCGCGGATGGTGCAATCAGAATACAAGCGAAACGTCAAAGCCAAGATCCCCTCGGCAGTGGGTGTCCTAATCCAAGAAGAATGAACTCATATACCTTCCAAGGAGACAAGAGGTCAATGCCTAACTTATTTGGGTCCAGAGGCTCTCCTTGTTTGGGCCCGGTCCCGCTAGGTCCCAAGGGTCCCACTTGGTCCCAAGGGTCCCACGTAGGTCTTCACCAGGTCCCAACCAAGAGGAGTCCCACGTGAACTTAGTTCAGTCTCTAGTGCACTCAAAAACGAAATTTCAACTTCTGGCAGAACCTACAGACTACAACCGTTCAGTGATGAAAAGACAAAGCACTGTAGAAAGACTCGGCATGTATAACAAAATACTTCATTTTCAATCCATCAGGTGAGTAGGTAAATCACATGCATTCAGTCACACAATCAAGACCACATAGAACAATGGATTCATGAAAACCAGAGAACCAGACCAAAACCAGAGAAATCCTATAGACAGAAAAACGTCAATGGAACATAGCATTTTTTTAGAAGCAAAGGTTGATTTTACACCGTTTCGTGCGCAAATGTCATCGACCCCCCCCCTAAAAATTAGGAGATATTCGAGGCCGACAACAACGTGGGCAAAAAAAACCATTTTGGAGGCGAACAGGCAACTCCTACTCATGGCCGACGAAAAGATCTCCAATTTATGGCGATTTCAGTGCAGAACGAAACGACCAGTCAGTACTGCACATTGGAAGTAGTATTTTGTTTTAAAACAGAAGAGCCTTAAAAACTAACCGAAAACCTGGCAAACCGAACAGACGGGTTGGTAATCCTCTTTCTTTGCACTCATAATAATAAGGAAACGGAAGCTTGAAAACGAAGGTAGTAAAAAAACGGGATCCAGAAGACAACAAAAAACAGCCAACGACAACTGATTTCAAATCTCCAAAAGTTGTGGACAGCCGGTTGACCAGATTCTACCGTCACGAAAATTCAACGACTTCCAAACACGACCTTATAGGTCTATAACGTGAATTTGCGCAAATTCGGAAAAAAGCCGAATTTTGCGAGATTTAAAAGCGACCCTCGGAAATTCTCTCGAAATTCGAAAACCGCACTTTTCGAATTATAGGCCTATAACGACTGTTTGAAAACGAAACACGGACATAATAATTTTAGTCCGCAATCGGTCAAGTGTTTATAGCCCTATAAACGCAATGTTCAACATCACGGGAATTCAGCGAAATTCAAACACGACCTTATAGGCCTATAACGCGAATTTTAGGAAAGTACAAAAAGAGCATAATTTTACTCCATTATCAGTCAAGTATTTAAAGCCCTAAAAACACGTTGTTAAAAGTCGAGAAAATTCAACGAAATTCGAACATGACCTCATAGGCCTATAACGGGAATTTTACGAAAGTAGAAAAAAAATATAATTTCGCGAGAATTTGACATGAAGCTTGGTGTGCGTAAAAAATTTAATCCGTAATCGGTGAGGTGTTTGAGGCGCTGTAAACGCAATGTTGAACGTCATAAAAATTCAATAAAATTCAAACACGACCTTGAAGGTCTTTAACACGACTTTGCGGAAAGTAAAAAAGAACATAATGTCGCGAGAGTTTGAATGACAAACCGCAAATTGACAATTGTTCATGTGACAAATGTTTTGGTCAAAAAATGAATGACAAACCGCAAATCGAAAAGTCGGAACCCAAATGGCAAATCGTGAGTCAATTTTCAAAATCTCAAAATTATAAAGTGAAAAACCGCAAAGTACATTTGGAAAAGATCGCGAAAACAAAAAGGTTGGCCACACGTGCCTGGCTGCGAACTGCAACCTACTGTTGTACAAATTTACAAGAATTTACAAGCCGCTAATGACTAGACTCAGATAACAAAAAGGTTGGCCACACGTGCCGGGCTGCGAACTGCGACCTACTGTTGTACATATTTACAAGAATTTACAAGCCGCTAACGACTAAACTGAGATAATCTGTTGAACAACAACAAAAGGAAACCTGATCTAATGCGGAAGCAGAACTGACCTCGATCTCGATGACACTTTGCCAACCTCCGAAGCAATCGGTTCCTAGAAGGTCTTCCTGGTCGACATCCTCCGTTGCCATGAAATTCAACATCTCAGAGATCTTTTGTCTGGTCTGCGAGAAAAGGGTCATGTGTGTCTTCAGCTGGAAGTTGTAACAAAGAACGCTGCAGCTTCAGTCATAAACATCCTCGGAAGGCTCTCTCGTAGTCTTTCCTTGAGGATTTGTCTTGAACTGAGGATAGTAACCCTCTCCTTTCTCACGTTGTGCAAACCAAGCAACTTTGAATTGTTTACCTGCTAGCTGCTCGACAACCTTGCCAATGTGGTAAGGTTTGCCTCTCTCTTCCTGCCCCGAACAAGCTCGTAATGCAATGAAAGTGTTGACCTCGAGATCGTCGTACTTTCCGTCTCTGTCCTTTCGAAACTGTCTGCTCTTGCGTGCGCCGATGTAGATGGGTCTCTCAGGAGGGAAAAGATCATCCCAGCGTTGGTCAAAGCTATTAGCGGTTGGTGGAACTTCTTCACCTGCTCTGCTGACATCAGCTGTCACAGAGGGCCACGCGAAAGGCTCTTTGAGGTTTGTGTCCTCAAGGTCGAGAGTTTCCTGCGTTGCTATGAACTTATTCCACCATTCAATGTTGTGGGGTTGAGCGTAATGCGACAGGGAATGTACGTTGGCTTTCAAGGCGGCGATGAAAAGTACATCATCGTCAACCTTGAATTTTGAAGATCCTCCCACTTTTGGATTAAGGACATGACCTTCACTGCTGACGACCTTATCACGCCTTTCGTCCTCACCCCGACAAGTAAGTCGATATCTTGCTTCCAAAGATCGGATTGCATGCTTTGGTGAAGCTTGAACTTGTCTTGTTGGCTCTGACTTGAAGATGTCCAGACCTTCTCTGTCGTTCGGCTGCCACTGCGAATTATGATATTGCTTGCTCCAAATGCGCACCTCCTCGTCGTCGTTGCGCTTAATTTGAAAATGTTGGTTGAAGCTAATATCATTGACATTATGTAGATGATCCTGAACATACAACTTCCAGTCCATTGTTTCCGTCATCTCCTCAACGTGCACGCCATGATCTTGTTCTACCTTGTACGACTCCCTAGTCACGTGTTGCAACTCAGAAAGATCGAACGCACCATGTGCAGCCAACTTTCTCAAGAAATAGCTGAGCATCTGGTCAATGTCCTCGTGCGTGTGACCGACAAGAAGAAATTTTAACTTAACTTTACTAAACACTCTCATTTTCACCAAGAACACGAGATATGACAACACAAATTTGTTCTTGTTCTCTTTCGAAGTGTTATGAAGTGTAAGATACAGGACTCTCGGAAATGGTACAGGAAGTTGAGAAATCTGACGATGAAGAACAGTTAGCATGCAATTAAAATCTAATTTGAAGTTGTCAAAGAAAACAGTAGCAGAGGCGTTCGATGAGAGTCCTAGCACCTTAGCCCCAACCACGTGAACTTTTACAAAGTTCCTTTTTTTAGTTTCGAATCCTTTGGAACCCTAGTGAAGTGTGGCAGTATAGTCTTGCTCTGATCCATCCCATCAATGATCATTGCGACATACTCTGACGGATGACTTGAAGCCTTGTGACGATGCTTACTGAGTTTTTGTCTCTCTTCTGCTTGCATTAACCGGTGCATCTCTAGTGCCTTGCCAAACATTTCTGCGCAAAAAACAAAACAAGCGGTTACTTTGTCAAAACACGTTAAAAAAAAGAGACAAAGCACGATGAAGGGCTTTAAAATCGAAAGCAATGATTAGACAAAGTGTTATAGGGCTATAACTCAGGAAAGCTAGTCCACAAGTGTCGTGCATCATAAAATTCGAAGTTTGGGCAAGGCAACGCATACGTCACTAATAACAAGGGCTTTAAAATCGAAAATGGCTATTAGATAAAGTGTTAAAGGGCTTTTACTCTGAGAAGTCGAAGACGATTATTAGACAAAGTGTTATAGGGCTATAACTCAGAAAAGTCAGTCGACAAGCGTCGTAGAATCTTCAATTCATTCTTCCCCAAAACTTCTGTTTTGATTGACTGAACGAGTTCTGAGAAGTCGAAGATGAATAAGAGATAAAGTGTTATAGGACTATAACTGAGACAAAGAGAAGACGTTTGACTATTTCTTTACCAAACTTTCTACTTTCATAAGAATCCTTCCCAGTTTGCGCTGACACTAGATTCATTTTTCTTTCTACACGAAGAACATTTAGAGAGAGAGAGAGAGAGAGAGAGAGAGAGAGAGAGAGAGAGAGGAAGAAGAAGAAGAAATAGGAGAGATGAAGAAGAGTTTCATGAGAATCCTTGTGTAAATGTGCAAGTCGCAGCCTCTACTTTCTAAGAAAATAATTTAAAGGGATATAATTCAAAACAATCAGTCACACTGTGGCAAACATCGAAGAATGAACACTGAGAGAGAGAGAGAGAGAGAGAGAGAGAGAGAGAGAGAGAGAGAGAGAGAGAGAGAAGAAGAGTCAGAAAGACAGGGGGAGAGAAAATAAGCACTGAGGTTATATCATTACCTCGTTCGAAGGCACTTGTTGCCTGTGAACGGCCTGTCTTGAATTTCAGACATGTGGAACAGACTGAGAACCTCTTCAATGCAGGAATAATAACTTTAGGGCAGTGACCCCTCCAAATGGTCATAAATCTGGAACGGGAAGGAAGAGTCTTATTCGTGCAGAGCTCTTTGCAGTCGCGCTTGAAGAAGTCGTACACGTCTCTGCGCCGGAGAGTAACCGAAAGATGAAACTGGTCACTATTTGACATACTCTCAGTATTGTATCGAAAATATTCATGTAACAGGGCGATAATTTGCTGTGATGAAGCAGATAATCCGACTGATACTTTGTTTGCATGTTCGTACAACACCATTCCTTCTCTGAATTCTTTGCGTAACACGTGTAGTCGAGCATCCGTATAGCTTTCCGCACGCTTTTGTGCAAACCTTTACGCCGCTGAATTTCACTCTTAACACCTCTAAATCTCCCTCATCCGAAAAGTACGACGCAACCCTCATCTCTGCGAGAAAGAAGTTGAGTTGCTCAGGTTGTTTCATCGCCCAAAATTCTTCTCGCTTGTAGAAAACATCTACCGCCATGAACTTCTTGTAACAGTTGGCCTTGCACCAATCTTCCTTCAGAACTAGTCCGACATTCTTCATGTTCACGTGGTAGTTAGCTTTCTTGATGTACACACGTACGTTCCTGCCGCGCTTCCCCACGTTGTAAGGAGGTGTCTCACTCTTGCTTGATTTGCTGTACAGTCCTCTTCTCACCTCCTGCACTATTATCTGCTTCCCTTCTCCTAAAAGATCTCCAGATAGACTCTTCTTGAACATGTCGACATCAATTCCTGACTCGTTCTTCCCTTCATCATTCTCAAAGTCTGTGTCTTCTGAATCGGCATCCTTGCTTGTGTCCTCCTCCTCATGATCGTCGTCGCGCGATTCGCCCTCTTCATCATCGTCGTCACTGGGTTTCTCTTCCTCAGTGCCGTTGTCACGCAATTCTTGCGCCACGCTGCCGCAGAGCGTTTATTTCACAACAAAGTTCTCGCCCATGTCCTGTACATCGTCTCTCTCTCTGGATTGTTCGCCTTCAGCGTTCGGGCACTGACACTTCCCAGGGCGCTCTTTCTGGATTCTACTCCCCATTTTGTCGGTTGCGCAGAGACCTATCACTGTGTTTGCTGCTCGGCATGGCGCAATAACCAGCGACGGTCTTCTCACCATTTGCACTGACCTTCGGTAGAGGGTTCTGCTTCTCCCCTCCGCTTGTACAACATTGCCGCAGGTCCGAAAACCACCTGACAATCTTCGTCTTGACAATGTTGGCATCAACACTGCTCTTGCATTGAGAAAGGTTTGGAAACCATCTCACGGGGTTAATCTTGCGACTACTCTGAGCACTTCTTTCGGTTAAGGAATCTATGGCAGGAAGATACTTTACGACAACCTAACTGGCGTGTAGAAGTGACGATGGCGTCACTTAGATTAGAGAAAATTCGGTGTTAGCGCGAGAAAGTGCGTCAGAAGACGGTCGGAAGAGCGTCGCTAACGCGGGGGTAAACTCCTTGAACACGAAATCGCGAAAACTGGGAGAGACGACAACCTATCTGGCGTTTGGAAATGACGATGGCGTCACCTACAATAGAGAAGACTCGCTGTTAGCGCGAGAAAGTGTGTGAGAGGACGACCGGAAGAGCGTCGCTAACGCGGGGGTAAACTCCTTGAACACGAAATGGAAACAAAAGGAGAACACTTGCTACTGCGACCCATGTCAAGAATATCAATGGCAATTTGGAATTTCCCGCCAACGGATTTTGAAAAAGTAGAATTCTTGAGCCGTTGGCGACAAAATTTCAGAGAGCCCGAACTGTCGGAGAAACAAATAAGTTCGAGCGCCTGCTACTGGGATCCCGTCAAAAATATTTTTAACATTTGACAAATTTCCGCCAAGGATCCCGTCAAGAATATTTTTAACATTTGACAAATTCCCGCCAAGGATCCCGTCAAGAATATTTTTAACATTTGACAAATTCCCACCAAGGTTTTCGCAAAAGTCCAATTTTGAGACCGTTAGCGACAAAAGTTCAGAGAGGCTCAGTCAGGACTCCGGTAAAACAAATCATTTCAACCTCCCAGCCAGTGGGACCGTCGTCAAGAACGTCGTCAAAAGTTTAGAATTTCCCGCCGACGGCCGTCTTCAAGATTGAAATTTTGAAGAGCTATCGACAAAATTTCGGAGAACCACGACCCAGTAAAACGACACATTCTAAACGTCAAGCGCCCGCTTGCGCTTTCACTGATTCCCGCCTGTGTTAAATGCGGAATTTAATTTCTTGGAGACAAAACCGTGAAAATTTGGAAAACCCCGTTACAAGATTCTCGAATTTCGAGAAAGACTTCGCAAGGTCGGGAGCGACAAAAAGAATTTAAAAAAGGACGTCAATCGTTGAGCGTCGTTGTTGCTCAGAGAGCAAATGGACAAATACAAACAGAGAGAGAGAGAGAAAGCGGCGTCTAGCGTTGTCGTAGTTGCTTAGAGGCCGTGGTTGCAGTGTGGATCGTCCTTAGTATGAAACACACAAATTTACAAACAGAGAGAGAGAGAGAGAGAGAGAGAGAGAGAGAGAGAGAGAGAGAGAGAGAGAGAGAAGAA